GAGCTCGTTTCCGGTTGACTATATGGATTAACAACGATGCATTCTCTGTGAGACACATTTTAAGGTTCGCTTAAAACATGGATTCGAAGACGAAGACACAGAGGGCAGTATGTCATTATAATGGTGAAGTGAAGTGAACTGGAATTCCGTCCAAATTCGTGCACGGGTCGACTTTCGTGTACTTACGTTATATGAAACTTTCAATAAAGCTCCATGGAACTTTGTTGTTTCAGCATAGTCTGGGCCTAAACAATTCCCACTCATTTAATCGCCAGCAGCTTGGACGGTTTGTCGTTAGATGAATGAAAACAAAAAAAAGCCTGACGTGAAAATAAGATCTACCAAGTGAAAAGTAAAGAAAGTTTCATTTACATCAGCCACCCATGAGTTTGTATTGCCCATCGGAACACCCAAAACGTCTTTGCGTATATCTGTGCAACATGTCCTCGGCACTATGGAGGCTGGGGCGAAGATTAAATGTTTTCTAGAGAAAATTGAGAGAAAAAAAAAGGGTTTCCGGGATGGTATAGTCTTACGTAGCTCTTCGTTTATCAAACTTACTCGTCGGTACTTTTTCTTGATTTCTTCCCATGGCGATTCAGGTTCCACTTGGAGGACTTCGAACGGGTTAAGGTTGAAGTAGGTGGAACCGGGACGCAGCAGTCGGTCGATCTGCTGCTTTGGAGTGAGGACTGAATCACGTTTTTCTATCTCTTTCACCTTCATGGGGATCGGAAATAAATTATTGTATTTCTCTCATACGCTTGCACGGATCACATGTTAAGTGAGAAAATGAGACTACACAATGGGAACCCACCTCTTTGTAAAATCCGTCGAAAACCTCGTCTGGTGAACTCGTGCTACTGTCGTCAGGCGCGGCCATGTTTGAACACGGATTACGGTATCAGGTTCAGTTTAAAATTTCACCTAGCCCATTAACAAACTACTTCTGACTTTATTCAGAAAAATTTCCTTTCTGAACCCGATAATTTTTTCAGAAACCCAGTCGGTACAATGTGAATAGCAATAATTGAGATTTTTAAATATGGAATATGGACACGTGCAGCACGTGACTGCAGCATCCGTGATTGTTGTGTTGCCAAGGGCTTCCCTGGTTTTCTCTATCGCAGCCTTGAACTGCAGACGGGACAAGAGGTAGGTGGAGGGTACGCCGACATTCTTTGCAGTTGACTTTCTCCTGCGCCTGCTTCTTTTTTTTTATTTTCATTCCCCTTCTCTAGTCTGAGGGGAGAGGGGAGGAAAAAGCAGAAGCCAGTCGCTTGGTATGCATTGAACTGGCTTGCATCCAGTCGGCTGCTGCTCTCCTAACAACGTCCTTAGTGCCCTTTCAGAGAGAAGGAAAACATGGTTGTGGATCTTTCACTGAAGATCTTTGGGCCTTGGCTGAAACAGCCCTCAAGGAATTTCGGCATCACCTCGATCCTCCGAAATGAGTCAGCATCAGCTGCACCTGCAGGGTAGGCCTATGCCTAAGTTTTTGCCTTCCCCTCAGTCTCGCATCCCATCTTCGGTGTCTCAACATCGTTCGTTAATCACACGCTGGACGAATTTCACGATAAAGAAAGCCAATCTCTTTCGGAATAACGAAAAATGCCTTCATCCCACTATCACGGGAAAAAGTTACAGCCCGGAATTTCCCAAACTCGTACCTCAAAAGTGAGAACGACAGCCGGGCACAGGGGTCTTTGGTCCACCAGCCGTCTAAAACTTGGCGCTTTTAGCCTCTTTGGGAAAAGGGACGGAGACGAATTTTAATCAATAGGGTGGGTTTTTTTTTTTTCCTTATTGCACTGCATTTGTTCTTTTTTTTTAAATCAGCAAAAGCGATGGCAACGCGCTTGAAACGACACAAATTCCATTAAAGTAAGGAAATGAACGAGTGATTATCCCATTAAAATATATTACAAAAAAGGGGAGAACAGATTGATAGCTTCATCTGGATATTGTGTACTGGGCTGGAAATTGAAATATCAAGCACATGGTGAAAATTGTAGGAGGATTTCAGTTGCTCACTTTTCATGTTGGTGTGTTCTTCCATAGAGAACTTCCACATGAAACATCAGTCATTTTCAATAGCTGAATGATGATTCCAAGATCAGCCTGCTTGACGTGAAACTTAATCACCAAGCGTCGACAATCCCAGCTCATCCAACACTGATGTTAAACTCATTGCAATTTGTTATTGCAGTCACATGCATCGCCCCAGCAACTGGGATAAGAGGATCCTGGTCTATTCTGGAAAATACAAGAATGTAGCTGAAGTACCCGACAGTGTCCCGTATGGATTGCTTTCATCTTACAAAGTTGCTGGTGTCATAAAATCAACTTTTGATATTTTGCATTGCTTTTCAGGGCAGCTGTGATGCACAAGGCAAAGAATAAGTGGCGTATCAAGGTGAACATCTGGATGTGTGTTGCCTGCGTGGCTGCATGCGTTGCCATGGTCTACAGTGGGAAGGCGGCACTGGGAAGGGGCGAGGTGGTGTCTGAACGCACTGTTCAGCATCACAAGGAGCTCAAGGAGGCAAGGAAGAGTTTAGAGTGAACTCAGTCTACCACTTTGCCAAAGGTATATATATATATTGCTGAGCTTACTAATGCTTTCTCTATCTTTGACAGAGTGACAAGACGGTGTAGAGACAAGATGACCCTTTAGTCAGTAAAGTCTACCTAAAGAAATCATGGCTGGAGGCTAGAGAAGTCTGTTGAATGAGAATGCCTTTTGATGGATCTGTGTAATCTTCCATGTCAATGATATTAGTGGAGTAGTAAAAGAGTATTTCCCCTCTTGGTTTCTTATGAACATCATGTGGAGTCCTAGATACAAGTGAGGTGTTTTTTCCATGAGGGAGGGGGGAAGATAAGGCTGACTGATTGCTTTTGATCTTGTAGGCCTATTTAAAGGAACAGAGGCAATCATGTAAGAAGTGAAGGAAGAGGGGAACAGTCTGTCAGATCAGTTTACTGGTCTGATAACCTTTTCCAACTGAAGGCAAATATCCACTCCTGGCTGTAGCATGAGCCATGATATTCTTCATACCCCTCTTCCCTCCTGTGTTATTTCATGGAGTGGCACCATCAATCATGTTTCACTGCATGTACTGCAGTGTGATGGGTGATAATAGAAGCCGTTCTAAATATCAAGACCTGGTATAGATCTATATTTGTCTGAAGTAACAGGATTACTCCTGTATTCTTCTACCTGGCTACCAGTCCAATGTGCAAAAATAAATATCATCCATGATGGTTGGATCCATGTACATGGAAAAAGAAAAGAGGGGGTGAGCCTGGGTTTCACCTTGGAACATTGTAAGTCGAGATTCAGAAATCTATTGGTATGACTGCATGCCAATTTCACCCTCATATATTTTTTCATTTTTCCCTTCCTTTGGATGTGGGAGGTATGTGCAACACCTATTCTTACATTTCTGAGTATACCCATATTGACTGAAGCTCTCACAGGATGACTGCAATGACTGACCAAAAATGACATGAATTTCACAAATTATTCAAGGAATGATAAAGAATCTGAATTTTTCCAGGTGGAACTCCGGTCTTCATGGCCAAACGACGACAATAATTGTGTGATTGCAACTGTTTTATATTTTTCTTTTTCTTGTCCTTTTTCCTCTTTGTATCATTGTTTCTACTTTGGTTTTAAAGAGCAAGTATTACTCGAAAGTGAGATGTGGTTGGATGTAGGGATGTTGTTGTTATATACTTTACATGTTCATTGATGTTGAAACCTTTTAGATGAAAGAATTTGATAGGTGTCTAAAAAACAATCTTGTCTACTTTGGTAGTTGCTCTTCCATCATTTGTAGAGTATGAATCTCGGGGTACATATGAGAGTGGAGAAAAGCTTTGAGGGACTATAGAAAGCTTTGTCTTTGTTAGGAATTTGTGTTCTGTTGGATTTTTCTGGTGAAAAAAAAATTCAAAACCCTTCAATAAAAAAGTTTTCATTCATTCTTCTGCTACATTCACTCACTTCTCATGCTCCTCGCTCCCAATAATTCATCCTGCAACAAGAATAACAGGACATGAAATTCTCATTCATGAAGTCTAGAAGCTGAAAGTATGAGATGTCAAAAAATGATTGATCCTCTGATATATTAGTTTTGGATAAAGCAGGGAGATGATTGAGATGACAACTGGACAGGCCAGATTCCACTTTTTTTTCTTCTGACAATGCGTAGTTGTAGGCCTTGAGCGTGGATTCCACTTTTGGAAATAATTTCTCTATTCCTTAGATGGAAGTACAGTGAAAACTCGAATCCTGATGAGTCAAAATTCCGCTTATCTCGAAGTTCAATGCTTGGTCCCGGAGGAACCCTGTAGGACACCATGTTAAAAGCTTCATTTAACTCTAATTCGCTTACCTCGATTTTCTGGATATCTTGAATGAAATTTTCACTCCCTATAGCGATTTTCTCACAGTTAATTCAAATTCCGGGTGAGAAGGGAAAAATTCTTCTCATGGGACTTTTCGATTTTTGATTAGAATGAATGACAAGAAACCTGTTTGGGAGAATGCTCTTTTGTTTTTTTTTTTTCTGCTTCTCCCTCCTCCCACACAGACACCTGTGGAGAGGATTAAACCTGAAAAGCTTCGGCTATAAAAAAAAAAAGCCTCCAACATTTGCTGTCAAGCTCTCACTCCGAGCCATTCTGTTCCCCATGTCCCTTAACATGAGTTTTTTCTTACTTTTTTTTGGGGGGTGGGAGGGCTATTCCTGATAACTTGAAACGATTTGCCCAGTCCCTAAAAGTTCGAGTTAATGAGTTTTCACTGTATTAACAAACTTTTTTTCTTATCCACTTGAGTATACAGAATGGGTCAAAAGTATTGCAACACTGGAAAAAATTCATATACCCCTCCCCAAGTGTGATAAAACAAATTCATTTACAAATGTCTCCCTTCATATAGATAATCAACTGCATTTGCTGAGGCATACTTCTAAGTACACTTCTGCAAATGCCTGCATTCAAGTCTATCCATGCATTTTTGAGTTTCTGGATGAGCTACTTGGAGCATGTGGCATGTTTCATCTTCTGGACCTCCTTGATAATCTACAAGAGATTTTCAATGGGATTTAGGTCAAGGCTTGTTGCCTGGTCACTGACCCTTCCCCCAGAATGTTGGCAGGTTCTTCTGACACCAGGTAGTGGTGGCTTTGGTGGCATGACAAGGGGCATTGTTATGCATGAAGATGGCCTGACCTTTATTCAACCAAGTACTGCTTCAGAATTGATCCTCCTGTGGTCATCCTGTTAAAGGCATCAAGGCAGGGCTTTTGGAGAATGTTCTCCAAATAATAAATTGTGCTCAAACTGTTTTGGTAGGATCACATGGAGCTCTGAGAGCCTGATGAGAGACAATCCCCTAACCCATGATCCTCAGTGGGCGCCTGACTTTGGTGACGGGAGGGAAAAAGGTGCAGTTTTTGCTACAGATCCTGTCACACTGGGTTGAATGGCAGGAAAAGCTGAAGCACAGACTCATCTGACCATACCACTGTGGCATGTCTTGACTTACATTTATGGAGCATCTAAGAACAGCTGCTACATCCTTTACAGGGTGGGCCATTAATATAAATACCCAAGGAAAAAAAAAAATTGGTATCCATGTCAGCATATATTTAATGGCCAATATTGGGAATTCAACAGGACTCCTTCTCAGACTCAAATGGCTTGACGTTCAAAAACTTGTCTAACTGACCATGTAGCAGAAATAATGATTCACGTGGAGTCTGAAGTAAGTATTCAGAAACGAAATTATACAGTGACCTGAATTAGTTAAGGCCGGGGTGTGTATCATTGATAATACATTTTGCATGTTAAAAATTCTGCTTGGCAGTCAACGCGTTAAGGCAAACCCCTCCCCCTTCAAAAATTCGGTCAATCTGGTAGTGACGTACTCGAAGTGCATATCCACGAATCTCACTGCAAAATTTTACGTAGACAGATGATATAGGAGATGTTATTTTTGTAAGTGCCATTAAAATATAGCGAGGAAAGATTCCGGGGAAAATGGGTCGTTTCGCGCGACCTTGTTCACCTGGGCTTGGAGCTTGCTTTTCGCCCTTCTCATAGTCTCAGACAGTCTCGCCTGTTACGGTATGATGCGATTGATCATGTATTCCTTCTTCCACCCTCTATCTCATGTGTCCTTATAACTCGAGGCTGAGATTGTTCATTCCGTCTCCAATAACGAGAAGAGAACGTTCCCTCAGTACGTGCCTGACCATTAATACTCGAGTGACATTCATAAGGAAATGAGGAGAACCGTTGCAATCCTTTCTATCAACGAGCTTGAGTAATGGTTTTTTTTTATTGGTTTGACTGGATTGTTGATGGCTTTTCAGGGTTTCCCTGGTCACTTGAGATTACATTGCTTGACTATCTAAAACTCACATCCCATTCCTCAAGATATCAGACGGTGGAAGTTCTTAATTGAGAGAAATGGAAGGGAAAAGAGACTAAAAAAAAATCCCACGCAAGGAAGGGCACTTGTGATATAGCCATAACCGGTCTCGAGTCATCGTCATACCACCGCATTGCAATGCAGAATCACTGGCCCCCTGCGTTCATGCGGGCCTCGTTGACGTACGATTTGTCTCATATTTTTCTCTTTTATTTTTTTTTATTCAATCCCAGGGGCCGTCATGCGTTTCATATTCATTTTTCCACTGACCACATTTAGATTCGCTGTCTGCGAATCTGAAAGTGGACAGGGGATGAGGACAGGGTCACACATTACATTTCCCTTGGCCACCGGCATCGCTCCCATTTATCATCGTCTGCAATGACAATCGTGATTGACGCCATTACCCTTTAGGCCTTTGGCAGTCAGCCAACTGCATACCAATTATACTTGACCTTTCAGCAATAGCTTTGAGAGGGTTTCCTAGCCTACACATTATTAGTTGCTTTGGATCCGGATTGAGTCACGGTATATGGGGTGGTTAAAAAAAAAAAAGCTCTACCGTTTTCGAAGGGGAGAAAGTATTATTTGTGTATTCAAGGAACAAATATATATTAATAAGTTTTGACATTGGACGTATAGGAGGTGTTGAGAAGATTGTCTGAGTTTATCTCAGAACAATTCTTTGAACTGTGCATATGAGAACATGAGCACGAATCATTCGTTCTCCCCTTTGAGAACAGTGGAACCTGACACCCGGTCAACAACAGCGCCCTCTATCGGGATACAGCGCCATCTTTGGGAAGTGAAAAAAAAACCAACACTTGACTCGTGAATTTTTCTGTCAGGTATCAACTGGAACTTTGAAAAGTTAAAGTTGAAAAGTTCATTAAATTCTGAGACGGTCGAGCAAAGGTCATCACCTCACTTGAGGTGGAACCTCTAAGCATCTTTAATTCACCTCTAAATGGGCATTGCACAATTTAGGCAGGGGTGCTGAAAAAAAGCTGGCAAGCATTTAAACACTTTGTAACTGTCACATATCGATCGCATATCCAATGTAATTTTTATTTTGAATTTATGAAACTCTGTTTCTCCCATAGAAAACGGTAGAGCGTTTTTTTTTTAACCACCCTATACATTGAGCATCTTAACGTCTACTGGATGTTGGACAATTCAGAACATCCATGACGTATAAATTCGCAATTACGTATAAGTTAGCGTATACATTTAGAGAACATCCTCTACATTTTTCCCCACAATAGTGAAACTTTCCCGTGTGTCCTAATAAATTTTGGAATAAAGTAAAAAGCGCACCGTGGTGGGGTAACCATAGAGATCATGATGAGCTCATCGCCGGAGAATCCCACAAAAAAAGTGAGTTAGAGTTCGAGGGGGAGTTATACCATTTGCTGTTCAACTCCTGCAATTTAAAAATAAATAGAATCCGTTGGAAGGGAGGTGTACGCATATTCCCTGAAGGTAGCACCACCGCGGAGTGGAAAAGAAGTCATTCTTAGAAGTGGGTCGTGATACATACGGGGAGGGGGAGGGGGCGCTCATTTTGAGGAATGCTGATGCTTACAGCAGATGACAGAGGATTAAGATGAGATAAAATTACTCTGGCTCTGACTACTCAAATCAGCAGTAATCCTTCAAACACCAGATGTCTAAAAGGGCCTCTTGCGTAACTGAATAGAAATACAAGGCGGTAGGACTAGATACTATCGAAATACAAGTCCAGATTCAAGTACGTTCCATTTGGTATGAGCTCTGAAAATGATGGTGGCATGTTGCAAGAAATAATAGTGGAATGAACCTTAGCGATCATTCAGAACATTCATGCTGAGCGAGTCAATACAATTTGCTAAATTTCTATATTTTGCGTTTGAGTTTGACTCTCTGAATCTTAATTAGAAATAACCTCAAAATAGCAGTACAGGGTCTACCTTGTATAGTTTTTCAGCAAAGAAGTGGCTGGATGAAGACGATAAACTTTGCCAAAAATTAGCATGCCATCATTCCCTTTCTACTGTCATTTACCAGGCTGTTGTGACAGCCAGGAAAATGGCATACGTTTTGCAGAATGTAAAGACCGCTGAATTTCACAGAAGATGGAAATGGCTCAGTAAAGATCCTAAATTTAATGAGAGGAATTGGCATTTTGACATTGAGAAAGCTAAATGATCATTTGGAATCAGCTGTCATTGTTGCGTACTATGGAGGATGCTGAAAACATGAATATTAGCCTTGTTTCAACCAGGGAAAAAACCTAGGGATTCCCTTGGTAAAAAATTCCTATAAGTAAAAAAAAAAAAACAAAACAGATTTTGTGGATTACCCCTTGCAGCAGAAAATGTCTCTGGCCCCATTCCTAGATTTATTTTTTAATTCCCAGGAAAAAGCTACCTATACAGAAAGATCCTATATGGTTAAAGCATAAGATCCATGTAAGGCTTATTCATGCAATTGGGCAACATGTATGTACTACATACAAGAATCATCTGGTTTGAGTAAAGGGCTCCTGCATACAGGGCCGACT